AACCCATTACCATTGAGTCGATTCCAACTCATAGTGACCCTATAGGACAGAGTAGAACTGCCTCATAGGGTTTCCAAGGAGCAGCTGGTGGATTCGAACTGCTAACCTTTTGGTTAGCAACTGAGCTCTTAATCACTATACCACCAGGGCTTTAAGGTACAGGTATTTTATAGATGAGGAAACTGAAGTTGCGAGAGCTTAATAACTTGTCCAAGGTCACATGGATAGTGGAGTAAGCGTTTGCATCCAGGTAGCCTGTTTGCAAAATCCATATACAATCTCTAGTCTCTGTGACTTTTGATGACATGGAAGAAAATGTAAATAATGTCATTTATGAATGCTCAACTGATAAAAATGAGTTTTTTTGTTTTGTTTTGTTTTTTAATTTGGTTGTTTTTGCTACATAGATATTGCTGGAATTTCTGTGCCTCAGAACCTGAGTGGATACTCTTTGTTGCCATTATCATCAGAAACATTTAAGAATGAACACAAATTCGAATACCTACATCCACCCTGGATCCTGAGTGAATTCCATGGATGTAATGTGAATGCTTCCACCTACATGCTTCGAACTAACCAATGGAAGTATATAGCGTACTCTGACGGTGTTTCAGTGTTGCCTCAGCTCTTTGGTAAATTTGTTGATACGTTTTTTCAAGTGTAATATTACATGCAATGAGCTGACCTACAAAGCCTTGCTCAAGAAATCCATTAATCATTAAATAAATGAATACTTGCTGCTTCCCAAGGTGAGACAGTCTACACAAGGTTGCCATTGTGAGGAGCAGCTTCTTTACAAGTCAGGATCGGAATTTCAGAGCAAGCGCCCTTAAGGCTTTTTATCTGGGTCTTGTGATGGAAACCACTATTTCTCTGATGAAAGTGTCTTGGAATACTCATGAGTATCTTTTCCAGTCAGCAGTCAAGATCCTGTCATTGTCCCTTGGTTTCAGCCGCTCCAGAGGATCAACACCTATTTTAGGGAGCCTGACTTCCTACACTTATGATTTAATCTTTTCCACAACCCTACAAGATTATACCATTATCCTCATGTTACAGAGAAGGATATTAGGGTGTCAGAGAGATTTGGGATTCCTGTGCAAGGTCTCACACCGAAAAAGTGGTAGAACTGGGATTTCAACCCAGGTCTGACTCAAAAACCCATGCCCCTTCCACACTATAAAAAATACCTACCAGCGTCACCGTCACTATTCTATGAATTAATTTTTAAACAGCATTATTGGATTTAGGGTTTTACTTATCGTTTGTTCCCATTTTGTACTTGGAATGAGTCCTAAAGCAATTATTAATATTAATTTCTTCCTAATTTCTTTCCCAGTTACAAATGTCAAAATTACTAACTCAGAATAATTCTTTAAGCATCAAACTGACTGACCCCCTTAGCTCTAAGAGCAGAAGTTCTTAGCTTCAAAAGGAAGTCCTTAAGTTTTAATCCTAATGAGTAATGGGCATCTCTTGCTCATTCATTGGCCATGTTCTACAAAAGGCAGATATGGCTATCAAAGTATCAGTGCGGGAGCTAGTCCTTTCTTCATTCTTTAGGGTTTATTCATTGGCTTCCTTACCCAAAGAGCTGACATCTGAAGTCACCTAGCAAAGCCACGAATGTCTTCAGAGGTTTTCTGGGTAATGTACTCAAATAGGCCCGTGGGAGGGTTTTCCTCAACATATGTTGTTCGTTTCTTCATTTCTTAAGTCATCTTTCATTTGCTTTTTTCCAATTAGATTGGCAACCTAATTACATTCTGTTTTCCCACATCATATATAAAAAGACTGTTTATGTATCTGAAATACAGTTACTTTCTTGCTGGTGGTGGTTGAGAGAAGTTTTATTCCCCCATGGCTATTTGTTCAAATGGACACTACTGATGAATGCAACTTTCAAATAATCCAAGGGCAAGATGCTGACATATAAGGACAACTAAGACTAAGTGAAGTTGCAAGAACGTATCTTAGCTAATGTCAAGAATTCTTATATCCAGAAAGTTTTAGGTTCTTGAAATGGGACAATATAAGCATTACTAAACTTTTCTTCTCTACACGTCAGAGTAGGCAAGACATTAAAAACAGAAAGAATTGGGTCTAAGTTAGTTAGGGTTTGACATTTCCTGCCATCTAAGAATGGATATGAAAAAAAGAATAGCAAGATGATGGTAGGAAGGAAAATAATCGTGGCATACGTTAGACAGGTATTAACATTTGGCATATTATTTTACCATTTCTATTGTCCTTCATTTACTACAATAAGAGAAACTAAAAATAAAAATAAGTTCTAATACAGTATCTGTCATAGAATGTTTTCAGAGAAACAGTCACAAAAAATGTTTTTTAGCAGATAACTATTTTGACAGGTATTTATTTTTTCTTTCAGATCTTTCCTCGGATCCAGATGAATTAACAAATATTGCTACAAAATTTCCAGAAATTACTTATTCTTTAGATCAGAAGCTCCATTCCATTATAAACTACCCTAAAGTTTCTGCTTCTGTCCACCAATACAATAAAGAACAGTTTATCGCCTGGAAACAAAGTATAGGGCAGAACTATTCAAATGTTATAGCAAACCTCAGGTGGCATCAGGACTGGCTGAAGGAACCAATGAAGTACGAAAATGCAATCAATCAGTGGCTTAAAAACCCACTAATCCAAGAGTTTGAACAAAAATAAGGAAATAATGTTCTACAGCTACTTATTAATATACTAAAAGATCATAATCAATGATATATTTTAAATATTATAGTTTAACATTACTGATTTTTAGTTACTTTTAAGGAATTTATTATACTTTAAAACAAAATATTATTTTTAAAACAAAATACCAATGATTGAAGAATTACATATTTTCAAAATAGCTACTATTAAAACGTCATTCTTACCAATTTCTAACAACTTCATGGAAATATTAAAAGGTTGGAAGCAAATACTATAATATAAAGCTATGCTCCTCTGAAGAATATAGAATATTTTAAGATTTATGGATTATCACCTATAAGCCATAGAATAGTTATTTCTGAGTATTTGATGGGACTTAGACAATTTGCTCAACCCTGGCTATGACTGACTTTATTACTATTTTTTTAAATAGGTAATATATGCACAAGGTACAAGCTTCAAAAAGGTACAGAAAAGTTAACACTGAGCATGAAGTCTCTCCCTCCTTTCCCACTCCCCCAGCCACCAAGTTCCCCTCCCCAAAGGCAAGTCTTGTAACTTTCTTATATATGCATTTACAAGCAAACATACAGTTTTTTCACACATAAATGGTACACATTAGACACACTGTTCTGCATTTTTTCCTACCTAACAGTATAGGTACCTAGAAGTGGAATTGCTGGGTCAAGAGGATATCTAGCAAAATTATGCTAAATACTGCCCAGTTACCTCTAAAGAAGTTATACCAGTTTATACTGCTACCATATGCATGCCTTCACATTCTTGCCCACGTGGTATATTATCAAAAATGTTTATCTTAGAAGGTTCTGGATAGAGGGGAGAAAAATGTAGAACAAAATTCAAATTCACAAAAAAAGACCAGACTTACTGGTCTGACAGAGACTCGAGGGACTCCCAAAACTATGGCCCCCGGACACCCTGCTAACTCAGAACTGAAGCCATTCCCGAAGTCCACCTTTCAGCCAAAGGTTAGACAGGCCTTTACAACAAACAATAACACACATGAGGAACATGCTTCTTAGTTCAATCAAGTATAGGAGCCCTAATGGGCAACACCTGCCCAAAAGCAATGAGGAGGAGGCAGGAAGGAACAGGAAAACTGGATGAATGGACCCTGGGAACCCAGGGTGGAAGGGGAAAGGGGCAGAGTGCTGACACATTGCGGGGATTGCAACCAATGTCACGAGATAATTTGTGTATAAATTTTTGGATGAGAAACTAATTTGCACTGTAAACCTTTGTATAAAACACAGTTTTAAGAAATGTTTGCCAACCTGATAAAAAAATTATTGTAATTTTTATTTTTCTTATGAGCAAGGTAAATCGTATTTTCATATATTTTAACAGCCACTGGAATTTCCTTTACCGTGACCTTTCCTGTTTCTTTTCTTTGCCCCTATTTTTCTGTTAAATTGTTGGTCTTTTTTTATTACATGCATGCTTTAGATATTAGCTCTTTGTAAGAGAAGCAAAGATGACACCTTGAGGACTAAGGTGCGCCTGACCCAAGCCATGGTATTTTCACTCGCCTCATATGCATGCAAAAGCTGGACAATGAATAAGGAAGACCAAAGAAGAACTGATACATTTGAATTATGGTGTTGTCAAAGAATATTAAATATACCATGGACTGCCAGAAGAATAAACAAGTCTCTCTTGGAATAAGTACAGCAAGGATGGCAAGACTTCGTCTCACATACTTTGGACATGTTACCAGGAGGGATCAGTCCCTGGAGAAGGACATCATGCTTGATAAAGTAGAGGGTCAGCGAAAAAGAGGAACACCCTCAGCGAGATGGACTGACACGGTGGCTGCAACAATAGGGCTCAAATATATCAACCATTGTGAAGACGGCGCAGGACGAGACTGTGTTTCGTTCTGTTGTACATAGGGTCGCTATGAGTCGGAACTGACTCAACAGTACCTAACAAGAGAAGCTGCAAATATTTTCCTCTTCAGTTCATCATTTTTATCATTTGTCTTTTGACTTTGTTCTTGTGGTTTCTGACATGCAGAAATTTGTATATTCATGTAGTCAAATTTATGAATTTTTTTGGCTTTTATGGCTTTGCTGTTTGTTATATTTAGAATGGTCTTCACCACTTGTTAGCTTCTTTTAGGGTTTTATTTTCTACCCTTAAATCTTTGATCCATCTGGTATGTATCATGTATTAGAGATCTAACTTTAGTTTGTTTTAAAAGATAGCTATACAGTTGACCTTTTATTGCATAAACTCTTTTTTTCTCATTGGTTTGAAATGTCATTTTATTATATAACACCTTTTATTGAGTAAATTATCTTTTCCCCCATTGATCTGAAGTATCATTATCATATAGCAGAGTTCTATTTACATTTGGGCCCTTTCTGAACATTGTATTTTTCACTGGACCAGTCTGTTCTACTTATTATAACTTCTAATGTGTGTCAATAGCTGGTAGGACTAGTCCCTTCTCATCAGTTTTCTTTTTCAGAAGTGTCCGGGCTATTGCTTACTTATTTTTTCCATACAAATTTAGAATCCATTTGTCTAGTTCCAAAAATGAATAATCCTGTCAGTCTTTTTATGAAATTAAATGTATAGCCTAAAGTAATGAGAATGGAATTCTTTCTTATGTTCAGTCATTCTAAACAAGGATATAATACGTTTTTCCCTTTTTCTAAGTTTCTTTTACATAGTCCCCAATAGTATTCTAAGTTTTCTTCATATAGATTTTTGACAAGTAGAGACCTTTAAAAAATACCACCTAGGCCCCATGCCCTAGTGGTGCATCAATTCAGCATTCAGCTGCTAACCAAAAGGTTGACAGTTGAAACACACACACTGGCTCTGCGGGAGAAAGACCAGGCAATCTGCTTCTATAAAGATAACAGCCAAGAAAACCCTATGGGGCAGTTCTGCTCTGTCACATGGAGTCAACATGAATTGGAATGGACTCACCGCACCCCACAACAACAAGGCCCCACCCCAAACCAACTGATTAGAACTAGGCCTGGAACCTAGACACTGTTTTGTTATTATTGTTATTTTGTTTGTTGAGCCCTACAGTTGATGATCCTAATGTGTAGCTAGAAGTTAGTTTATTCGTATTTGTTTTTTCATCTGTTGTTGCTAAGTGGATCTTTCTTCCATTATGTTTGTTTGGTTGTTTATATATGCAAACTCTGTATGTTTATTGTATACCAAACCACTTTATTGACTTTTCTTACTGTTTGTAATAATTTTTCCAATGATATATTTTCCAAGTAGAAACCTCATCTGCAAATAATAATTTGTCTAACTTAGTTATTTTTCAAACTGTCTTTGAAGTTTTTCTTCATGTGCCATTTCAGGGTGCCTTTATTTGGCTTACTGCTCTTCAGTAAACTTGAATGAACTTATCTTTATGTATGAATTTCTGAGAAATAAATTTCTGTGCATGGATATATTGTGAAGTAAAAACCTTAAGAGAACTATCTCAAAATTAGACCTCTAAATTATTAAGGTTAAAATTAAAATATATAAATCCATGTCCCAGCTCCTGATTAAAACTAAAGAACATAAAATTAACTAATGTGTGAGCCTGCATGTTAATTTTAGGAAAAAAATAAAGCAATAATAATCATTCTGAAAGTATAGATAGGCATGTGAAGGTAAATATAATCCACCTCGTTCTACTCAAACCCTTTATCATGTATTCATTGATAGTATTGACCAAGCATTCACAATGTTTGCGCACATTAGATATACAATAATAATTAGGTTAAAATTCAGTTTTCAGGACAATATCTAACTCAAAACGGTATCTAACAACCATGAAAACAGAAGATCAATAAAAACTTCCAAAACTAAGATTGTCCAATGCCAGAATCTGAGAGGAACTGACACGGTTTATAAATCAGATTGAGAAAAATTCGGGGGATTCACTTTTTACCACCTCCACTGCAACCACTCTTCAATCTACCATAATCTGTTGCTTAGAATTTTGCAATAATCTCCTAAGAGATACTCCTTGATTCTGTCCTTGGCTTTCTTCAGTCTATTCTCAGCCCAGCAGCCAGAGTGATTCTGTTAAAATACGTCAGAGCACATTACTCAAAACCCTCAGCTGGTCTCCCATGTCACTCTGTGAAAGCCAAAGTCATTATGATGGCCTACAGGGTCCTAGGTGATCCGGCTGTATGTTATTTCTCAGACCTCACGTCTTTCCACACTCCCCCGTTGTTCACTCTGCTCCAGCCACGCTGGCCTCCCTGTTGTTTTCCAGGCAGACCACGAATGCATCACCTCCAGGACTTTGTTAATTCTGTCTGCCTAAAATGGGCTCCTTCCCTCAGATTTACACATGGCTCACTTTCTTACTACTTCCTTCAGGTTGTTGCTCTGAAATGTCACCTTCTCACAAGAGCTTCCCTGCTTTACTCTTCTTCATAGAAATCATTACTATCCAACTTAGTATATGCTCTACATATTTAATTGGTTTATACTGTCTCCCACCTCAATACCCTCACCAAGATGAAAGCTCCATAGTGGCATGCGTTTTTGCCTTTTTTGTCCCCTAATGTATTCCAAGTGCCTGATACACAGGAGAAGCATAGTAAAATACTTGTTTAACTGACTTGCTGGAATTGTAGTTTTTCAGATATCACGTTGCGTTAGAAAACCAGCACATTAAGCCGTGGCAAGGCATGAGGTGGAGTAACCTTCTCAAATAGGGCCCACTAGAAACAGTAAATTCTAGCAAAATCCTGCAGAAGAAAGCTAACAAAGAACTGTATGTTTAATCTTTTTATATGATCAAGAACAGGGGTCATCAAACTTTTTCCGTAGAAGGCCAGATGTTAAATATTTAGGCTTGTGGGCCGTATGGCTTCATTTGCAACTACTCAATTCTGCCATTGTATCATGAAAGCAGCAACAGATAATACATAAGCAAATGAGCATGGCTATGTTCCTATAAAACTTACAAAAACACAGTGGGCTGGATGTGACCTGTGAGCCATTGTTTGCAGCTCCTGATTTAAGATGGTAGTTCCAAACCTTTGCTGAAAATTGGAATCACCTGGGGATGTTTAAAAACTACTAACGCCTGGCTCCCACCCTCAAGCATCAGAAAGTTTAAAAAGCTTACCAGGTGATTCTAATGTGTAGCAAAGTTTGGGAACTATTATTATGGAAACTTGTGTTCTGGTCCTTGGGCTAGAAGCATCCACATCACCTGGGAGCCTTATCAATATATTTTTATTAGCCTTTGAGGGGGAAAAAGGATTTTGTGTTTATTTTTTCTACTGTTTGGGGGTTTTGTATTTCAATAAACCCAATGGATCCTAATAAAAACAATTAGAATTGATAACATCTGGTAAGTGGTTGCATATATAAAAATGAATAGTTATCTGTAAGAATAATCACTAGGTCAAAATGGAAATTGGGAAAAATATTCCATATGCATTATGACATTCTATAAAATACTTTTAAATTTTAATGATGAATTAAACTAGATAAACTAAAATTCTATGAAGTATATAAAACAAGATATGAACATGGAAGGTAAGACAGCATGTTCTTAGATGCAGGGATCTAATATAAAAATGTCACTTCTCCAAAATTAATGTATAAATTTCATATGATTTTAATCCCAATAAGGTTTTTTTTTTTAAATTGGACAAAATTATCTTAAAGTTTTCATGGAAAAATGAATGTCTGAAAATAGCTAATAAAATTATGCAAAAGAATATTGAGGTGGAACTAAGTTTACTGGCTATTAAAACATACTATAAACCACTGAATCAAACCAAGGACTTAGCAATAAAGGCCATGAAACAAGAGAGAAACGTCTCAACACAAACTAGGTAGAAGAAGCCCAATGTAGAACACAGAGAAGAAGATCTAAACCTGTACCGGGACTATTCCCTGCTACACTGGTCATTC